ATGATGCCTTACACCTGATCCCTTCGACACCTCGTGGTTGCATAGGCTGGTGTGCTTCTGAAGCACTTTCTTATACACATATGTGTGTCTATGAATTTGTTTCTCTACTGGGACTATCACAGTTACCATTAGCATTCCTAATCAAATTATTAATTTATTGAGTTCTTGTTGGGTATCAGACATTGCACTAAATATTCTACATACACAGGGATATCCCCCCACAAAACCCTGGAAAATATCTCCTATGGGTGCAGCTTTCATTGTATGCATTTTTTCCCACTAGGCGAGCATCAAGCAACTCACTCTGAGTTAGTGAGCCCAGTGGCATCATCTGGGAAGGTTCTCTGTGGTCAAAGTGAATTTTTTCATAAAAGCAGGTTCTCTTTGTGATGATCGATTTAAGTGAACAGTGTGTGGCTGTGAAATTTTGTTTTCTGTTGGGGAAAATGCTGCAGAAACTGTTGTGTTGTTGAATGCAGCTTACAAGGAAGGACAGCATTATGGGAAAAGCTCAAGTGTAAGAGTGGTTTTCTCATTTCATAAAAGTTGAAATGTCGATTGACGACAAACCTGGTTCTGGAAGTACATCAACTTCCTGAATGGATGAAAATGTTGACAAAATCTGTGCACTTGTGCTTGAAGACTGATGATGGACCATTGAAGAGATAGGGAAATTATCTGGACTATCTTGGAGTTCAGTTCAGCAAATTTTAACACAAGATTTGGGAACCAGAAATGTCACTGTAAAATTTCTGACTGACCAGCAAAAAGAGCATTGAGTGGAAACATGCTGTGCTTTGAAAGAAGAGCTCCGAAGTGACCCAGACATTTTTCCAAGGTCATTACCGGTGATGAGACATGGTGCTACTCTGACGACCCTGAAAGCAAACACCAATCAAGCCAGTGGAAAATGCCATCGTCAGTTGCCAAAAAAAACCTTATCAAGTAAAATCAAAGATCAAGATGATGCATATTTGTTTTTTGCTGTGAGGGGAATGGTTCATTTGGAGTTCATTCCACCAGGTCAGACTGTTAATCAAATTTTATATTTAGAGGTTCTGAAAAGATTGTGTAACAGTGTGTGACAAAAACGGTCTGATTTATGGCAGATGATAGGCTGGTTTTGTAACCAGGGCTATGCACCTGCTCACACAGCCATCTCAGTGTACCAGTTTTGGGCAAGAAAAAATATTCCTCTCTTGCCCCAAATGCCTTACACTCCTGACCTCACTCTGTGAGAATCCACAAATGTAGAGGGACAGCGATTTGATGACATAGAAGAGATGAAGAAAAAAAAAGAGTGAGTTACTGTCAGTCATCCAGATAAGTTTGAAAAATGTTCAAATTTGACAAAAGTTTTAAATATAATGGAGAGTACTTTGAAGGTAATAGGGCTGTTTTGTAAAAAAAGATATTAAATATGTAGCTTTATTAAAAATTTCCATGGGGGTTACCCACTCATGTATTATTTGCATATATTATCAATTCTCTCCCAATCACACACACACACACACAACCAAAACACCATTTTAAAGAAAAGATTATTATTTCCATTACTATAAGAATTATTTCCGTTCTATGTTTAAAAATAAATGAACTTAGTTTTGAACTTGAGTCTCTAAATCTCAAAGTTATTCAAACTTACATTCAAGAACACATTCTCAGCACTTCATGGTTTCCATGAAATAATTAAAAGCTGTACTACTCTCTTAAATTATCTAACTTCTGAAAATGTACGTGCATTTTGGGTCATCTATTTAATGCAGACACATTTGTCTTGATGTCCCCACATGCATACCTGGGCTTCCTATAGTGTCTTTATGGATGGGATTGACTCAATGGCAGTGAATGAGTGAGGGGAAAGTCAAGGCAGCTTTCAAATGTAAACGATACTTCTTCACTCAGTGAAGAGCATGGGCATCACATTGTACCTCACAAATGATAGTTTTTCAGTCATTTAGAGAAGAAGACATGGGAGAACTTAGTCTTACACGACATCATCCATCACAGGGTGGAAGATCCAAAACATGGTATTATAGCAGTGGAGTTCTTATCTACAATGCTGATGGTGATTTGGTTTCAAGAAAACAAAATTGTATGTTTCATTAAAATGTTGCTATTTTTAGTTTTATTGTCTCAGTAGTATCTTTTCAGTATGTGTAAGCTTGTTTTGATACCATAATTTTATATAGCTAAAGTCATTAAGACATCTCCTTTTATGTTTGATTATGTTGAAGTAACATTAAAAGAAAATAATTCACATCAATATTGTCAGTACTTTTACTTTGTATTCTTTTTGTGCGTTTGTTTTTCCTTCTTAGAAGCAACTTGGAGAAACTATTATGTGATAGTTTTTCATGTGCATTGTCAGTATGACTTGTCTTTATTATCATTTTAAACAATGTTGATGGTATTCTGACTACTCCATTCATATCCTTTCCTTTATTACATATTTTTTTAATTTTGTCTTATATTTTTCAATAGTTAAGTACTTAAAAGGTGAAATAATTATCCTTCAATTTGTATAATGCCTTAGGTTGTTCACCTGAACCATTATTTTTAGAAATTCACATTTCTAAAATATATTAATTACTTCCTTTTCTATTTAGTTAAACTTTTGGATAATTATAACTCTTCCTACCCACTAGGACATGGTAATAAAAAGCAGATTGTTATGTAATATAGAAAATTTAATTCATTGAATTTCTGAAATATAAAAAGATTATTTTGGAAGTATAAGGATTTATTCAATTTGTTTATTGCTCAAGAATTTGTTGCAAAGTTTTCAAAACTTTTCTAAAATGATTCAATGTTTCTCAAATTTTGCAAAATCAATCTTGGAAGTTATCTGTACTGAAAACCCAAATGCCTCCATTCATCCTATTCTTTAAACTGGAGAAATTGAAGACCTCCAATTTGTTACTAATATACATTAGTGCGAATGCCTCATTTCAAAAACAATGAATGTAGCAGTTAGTTTCCTGTTTCTTACTTCTATTGAAGATCCTGAATCATGGGAATGTTGAATGTTGAGTCAAATTGAAGAAATTAAAATGAAAAAGACCAAATTATAATTATTGAAAACTAAATTGATTTTTCTAATATTTTAATAAAAGAATTGTACTGTAAATTTAAAAGTATTAGGACAGTCAAAATACTTTCTAAAAAACGTTTTTGCTCTTATCCTTTCCTATGTTGTCATTTCTTTTTTTTTTTTCCTATGCTGTCATTTCATCCATGAAAAACTAACAAAACAAACTGAAATTCTCGTATATTTTCCTTTATATACAAGTCTCTTGTCCATGGGGAGTTTCCCTTTCTTCCCATGTTTTTAAGTGGGAGAATTCGTCATCTCTAACACATGAGCATTTTCAACATTACTGTCATCTTACATTCTTAGGTAAAATAAGATGCATTCACACTTCCATTCATTACATTATTTGAAAATGATAATGCTTTCTATTAAACTGTACTTCAACATTCTGTTTTATCTGCAGCGGAATGCGGTGCTTCTGCAACAAATAATGAAGGGATCTTGCTCTCTCCAAATTATCCACTCAACTATGAGAACAACCACGAGTGCATTTACAGTATTCAGGTTCAAGCAGGAAAGGGGATCAATATTTCAGCTAGGACATTTCATTTAGCACAAGGGGATGTCCTCAAGGTAGGTAAATTTTGGCATATTTATATTTTGATAATTTTAGTCATTAAGTATTCATCATTTAATATGTATATACATATATTTTAAGTGTATATTTATTTTATCATCCACAATTTCATATTATAACCTTATATGTTATTATTTTTATTGAAATAGGCTTTGTTCCCAAGGTTATTTCTTGTAATAAAAGTTATATTTTCATTTTATGACAAATATATGTGAATATTTCAGTAGCAACAGAATAAATACGTTCTTATTCCCAATAGCACATTCAATAAATATCACTTGTAAAACAATAAACACTTAATTTGTCATTACCTTAAGAAATATAGTGAATGTTTTCATTCTTTTATCTACTAAATAACTTACTTATCTTCATTGACTTAGGAAGACTTATTTGAATGTGAGATTATAAATCAAGTGAATTTAATTTTTAAATTATGCCACAATTTTTCATAATTGTCTTGAAAAATACTTTTTTTCTTAGAATAATTTCTTGTGATAACTGCATCCTAGTACATAACAACGGAGGCTTTATGAATTGATCATAAAATAAAAATTAATTGGACTTAATGTGAATGGATATATTTATTAATTTGGGTAGAAATTCTGATAAAATAACAAATTATGGCATTTCTAAATTTGCTCATGATTCTAAATGTAAAATTTAGATACAAAAATTTAACTACAATTTCTATAAATATTCTAGAATATTTGTAAAAATATTCACTATTCCTTATATAATTGAAATAATTAAATGACCTTCTTTCTTTAGAAAGAAATCATTTAGGTAAATAAATATTACCATATTTATGTATACTTTGTAATTTGCTTTGCTAAATATTAACATTTATTTTTAGAATAAAAAACACTTATTTAAATATTTAAAATAAATTATGTCTATTTTTATAATCTCCAAGAAATTTTTAGAGAAAATGAGAAATTAATCATAAATCTATGATATAAGTAATTTGGCAAGTATGAAGTGATTGGTTTTTAAGTTGTGATTTGTAAATTGCTTGCTATTTTTCTTTTTCATAAATTACATCATTTTCATGATAACTGATGACTCTCTAATACAAACAATTCTCTATGCATTGTAATATTTTTATAGATGTTGGGAGAGATTACTTATAACTGTTCAAATTTTAATGTTGATTTAGGTCCAGAGTATGCATTCAGACTTTATGCACTTTTTCACAATAGGGAAGAGAATTTCACTTTATCAAACTTTTTACCTCCAGCTCATTGTACTGTGTTCTTCTTTTAAAATAAGTTGTATTTTCCAAATCATGCACACCATTTAGATTAAGGGATACATATTCTGAGAGTCAAAGCAAAAATAAGTATTCTATGTCTCAACCTGCAAGAAGGCAAGTACCAAAGCACAGAAAAGATAGACATGCCTAGCTCATAATTACATCACATCCACACCAATAATGATTGCATGTTTGTGGATCCAAAAATCAGGAAGTGCTTCTTGATACCACCCCATGCTTCGTCTTTCTATGCTGCCCGAAATTCACCTCATACTCTTATTTAATAAATTTTAGAAAATCCATTTAGAACGATGGTTGATGCCTTTGTAAAAATAAAATGTCCCTAGCAAAACTTAAGTCAATCATATTTTAGTGTGAAATCTGTTCCTTGAGTGCTTCCAGGCAAATGTCTTACCATTTCATAGAAAGGCATACATGCATTTGTGTACTTTTTACTTTGAGATAAGGCAAGACCTTAATATCATATGACAAAGTGAAGATGTGGTCAGAGATTAATTAAGGCACAAGAAGCTAAATTTAAGTTTCTTTAATTGATTTCTTTAAATACATATTTATCTTTTCATGAGTGTAAAAAGCTATATTAAAAGTGTTAAAAGCTATATTCCCAGGAACTTTTCAGGTTTTAAATTTTTTTCTTGAAAAATTTTGCTCCTCAAACTTGAAAAGATTATACACTCAATATTACAATATAAAAACACCAGTTAATTATCACCCTACTTGCCTTGGGTTCATTCTGAGTTTCAATAAAACTTCAAATTACTGCAGCACATAGCTTCAGTAAGGCACCCCACAGAGACAGTTTGGAGCTGAGATCCTTCCATAGCTGACCACTTACTTCCCAGACGCCGGTGTATGGTGCACGATGCTCTCAGATGGCACCTCATTCCACCTATTCCATTGACAGACAGCTCTTAATTCAGGGTTACCCACCACCAACATAGGCACAAGCAGAAACAAGCAGCCTCCAAAGGACAAATAGGTGATCCTCAACGATTGTGGAGCTCAGATTACATGCTCAGTGAAATGAGAAAGCTGACCAATCCCCTCTTAGTGGTTCACACACCCTATTTGTAGGTTCTCACCCAATCGTTTGCTAAGCGTTTCATAGACATGGATAGAAGAGCCATTTCATGTAGTTTCACATCACAACTTATTTTTCCCGTCAGCTTAAACTAGGTCTCAGTCCAAATAAATAAGAAAACAATGTAGTTCATTATAGAAGACTGTTCCTTGGCCAACATTTTAAATTATTTTATTTCTTTTTTCAGCATGATTGACTATGTTCTTTAGAATTACATTTTTTTTTTTGCAATCCCTATCTGAGAATAAGGTTTAGAGGAGTATATTTATCATGGATACTGACAAAAACAACAAAAAGCAAAATGACCATCTACATGCATCTGTTTAGTTACTTTGTGCTCACATAGACACTCTAGATTAAGTCAGAAAGTATTGCTATATTCTAGATTAAGTCAGAAAGTATTGCTATATTCATGAGTTTAATTCAAATATATATATATTTAAATATGTGTCTGTGATCACTGGATGACTGTAGACAAGTTCTCTCAGTAATAACATGTTAGTCTAGTTAGGGTGCATTAAAAAAAGTCCAGTCTAACCAGTGACTGCCATGAAGATCTACTGGTTCGTGAACTTCCGGGCAGAGAGGTCAATTCAGAAAGGGATCGTGACCTTTCTTTGAGATTCGAAAGGCATAGTCTTGATATATTTCCTTGAAAAATAGAGAATGACGGTTAATAAGAAGTTTTAAGCAAATGAAAAACTGCCTTTGTGATGAAAAAGTCCAGGAAAGTTTGTTTTGTTGGTTTTCCCATCATGACACTCCAGTGCTCTTTTGTTGATGAGTTAGGGCTGTCCTTGAAAATTTCATGGGAGCACCCTCGCCCATCCACTCAAAGCTTGGGTCTTGTCCCTTTGGATTTCTTTCCTTTGTCCCTTTGGATTTCTTTCCTTTAGTCCCAAACTCAAACTGTATTGAAGAGGAATATGATTTGAGCCCCTTGGAGTTGCCAAAATTGCCTTTATGATTTTTTTGTAAGGAGAAGGGTGCGGAATTCTTTGGAGAAGAATTAGAGACACGGAAATCACATCTAATGATCTATGTAGACCTATATAGAAGATATATTTAGGAACAGCAGCTTCACATTTCAACAAACTTTAATAAAATTTTTTTTTATTGCATAGATAGATAAATTTTCTCTCTCGTGCTATACAGACGTGATCTGGGTTTTTATCTCTCTACTAGCCTCTCCTGCCCTGTCTCTTCATTTCTCTTCCTTTTCATTTATTTTTTTTACTATAGACTCACTTAGTTATTTTTAATTATGTTTGAAATTTATATCAATGAATTTCAAGTATAAAATATCGTGTGATTTCTATAAGGCTTTTTTTTTTTTTTTTGCTTTTAATCAATTTTATTTCCTGAGCCTCACTCTCAGAAATCTCACTCCGCAGTCTGGAGGGAAATGTTTCATTTGTCTAGGTCTGATTTTATGGATTTTTATAAAGTAAGTAACTTTAACTTATGATCAACAGGATTATTAAGCATGCATATGTATTGTTCCTTAATTCTAGTGTGAATGAAGAAAGTACAACACATCAGAATATTTTACTATAGTCCTTTAAGAGAAGCACATAATTAATCTAAGTAATAAAAATTCACTTTAATAAAAATTTACCTCAACTTTAGTTATCAGCTTTATACCTGATTGGTAACTTTTACTATAAAGTATCTTGGTGAATTTGTCATTTGTGGGAAAATGACAAATAATTTTGCTCAGGAGCCAACAAAAAGTTCTCCTTGGACAGACAATACATTTTTTATAGCTACTAAGGGATGGTTCTAGAAGTGCAAATACTTTGGAAAGAAGGAAGGGAGGAAGGGAAAGAGGGAGGATAGAAAAGATTTTAATAAATAGTAATTCCATCTTGAAGTACACACAGTGGAATAGGAATCTTAGCTCATCCATACTGGATTGAACAAATAACGGCACATAAGTATCATTCAAGAATACATCATTTTTTCCATTTGTTTACTTAGAGGATATTTTAATCTTCTCTGTTAACTATGAAAGACATAGTGCGTTATGTTATACTAACAATAGGATGAATATATAGCCTCTTGATTCCTGGCCACCACTTGTCTGCAAGTCTGTGAGACTTTGTGGCTTATGTATTGCTATGAGGCTAAAAGCTATGTCATTGGTATTTCAAATGCTGCAGGTTCACCCAAAGTGAACAGGTTTCAGCAGAGCTTACAAACCTCGAGGAAAAGGAATCGGTTGCCCATGCTGGAGGAAGTAGCCACTGAAACCCTTAGGCATAGAATCAAAATATTGTTAGATAAAGAAGGCCAAATAACTGAAAGCAGAATATTGTCAGAGAGAGTGCCAGAGGATGGGCCTCCTGAGTCAGAAGACAGTCTAAATGTGACTGAGGCAAAACTGCTTCCTCAAAGCAGAGTCAACTATGGTGACATCGAAGGAGGGTAGCACGTGGAAGCAAAGCCTTCAGGACCTTAACTGGTGGAATGCAATCGAAACGTTGAATCACTGCAAGCATTTATTTGTCTATGTTAGAAATTTGGAAGACAGTTATTTGGCCAATGAAATGGAAGAGATCATATTTGCACACATTCCAAAGAAATGTGACCCAAAAGAAAGCTCAAATTATAGAACACTGTCATTAACATCAAACGCAAGT